AATATAAATCTCCACATGCTGATTCGAAAAATATAGCGTGTTTGTGGTTTCAGCTCACGATTTTTGAAATATTCGACCCGAAATTATTTCTTTTCTAATCTTAAAAATTTCCATATTTTAATGTTTTGGGTAAATTTCTACTACTACGACCAATAATGATTCGAAAAATATAGCGAATTCAATGGGTGTTTCTAGAAATAGTAGGAGTTATCTATGAAATGACATCGAAGGCAACTTTTAGAGGGCGAAATTTACAAGAAAATGTGTTTAAGTGGTTTTGAAAAATGGTCGAAAATGAGTCGAAATTTGAAGAAACTAACATTAACATTAACATTGTGAAAAAGTAGCCTAAAAATCGACAAAAAAATCTGGGATATAGATCTCGACGTACTGATTCGAAAAATATAGCGTGTTTGTGGTCTTTGATGACGATTTTAGAAATATTCAGCCTGAAATTCAATTTTTTTTAAATCTTAAATAGTGCAACAATTTAATAGGCGATCCGGGAAAAATTGTAGGAGTTATCGAAGAAACGAGACCGAAACTGACTTCTAGAGGTCGAAATCTACAAGAAAATCTATTTAGCCAATTTCGCAAATGCTCGAAAATGGGTTGAAATTTTCACAAGGGGGGTGTACTGGAAAATTGAGATTTTGAAAAAGTTGTATAAAAATGCGCAAAAAACTGGAATATAGATCTCGAGTTGTCGAAAAAACGAGGCCGAAGTAACTTCGAGAGATTGAAATCTACAAGAAAGTATGTTTAGAGTATAGAAAAATTAGGATTTTGAAAGAGTTGCCTAAAATACGCAAAAAATTCTGGAATATAAACTCCGCGTGCTGATTCGAAAAATATAGCACGTTTTAGTTTCGGATCACGATTTTCGAAATATTCGACCCGAAATAATTATTTTTTTGAAATTCTAAAAATTGCCATATTTGGGAAAATTGTAGGAGTTAAAGAAATGAGGCCGAAAGTAACTGCTAGAGGTCGAAATCTGAAAAAAAAGTGTTTTGGGTAATTTTCGAAAATGGTAGAAAATGAACCGAAATTTTCGTAGATATAGGACATAGATATAAGAAATTTGAGATAATTGAAGTTGCTAAAAAAATCCGCAAAAAATTCTGGACAATAAATCTCCACGTGCTGATTTGAAAAATATAGCACGTTTTTGACCTGAAATTCATTTTTTTTTTTAGTAAAAAAATGCCATCTTTCAATGAACGATTTCGAAAAAATGGTAGGGGTTATCCAAGAAATTAAGCCAAATGTAACATTTAGAAGCCTAAACCTGCAAGAAACCGTGTTTAGGTAATTTTCGAAAATGGTTGAAAATGGGTTGAAATTTTCGTAAAGGAAAATTAAAATTATGAAAAAAATCTCCTAAAAATACGCAAAAATTTCTGGAATATAGATCTCCACGTGCTGATTTGAAAAATACAGCACGTTTGTGGTCTCGAATCACAATTTTCGAACTATTCAGCTTGAAATTATGATACCTTTTTTATTTCTAAAATTTGCCATATTTCAATGGATTTATCTAAGAACTGTAGCCGAAAGTAACTTCTATAGGTCGAAATCTGCAAGATAGTGTGTTGAAGTAATTTTAGAAAGTGGTAGAAAATGGATCAAAATTTTTATAAATGGAGTATATAGGAAAATTGACATTTTGAAAAAGTTGTCTAAAAATCCGCAAAATTTCTGGCATATAAATTTTGACGTGCTGATTCGAAAAATATAACGTATTTGTAGTCTCGGATCACGATTTTCGAAATATTCGACCTTGAATTCAATTTTTTTAAAACAGTCTGGTAAAATAGTAGGAGCTGTAGAAAAAACGAGGTCGAAAGTAACTTTTACAGGTCAAAGTCTCCACGAAAATGTGTATAGGTAATTTTCGAAACTGGTCTAAAATGGATCTAAATTTTCATAAAAAGGTGACATAGAAAAAATAAATTTTTGAAAAAATTGTCTATAAATCGGCAAAAAATTTTAAGATATGGATTTCGACGTGTTGATTTGAAAAATATAGGGCGTTTTTAGTTTCGGATCACGATTTTCGAAATATTCGACTTAAAATTTATTTTTTTTTTACACAAAAAATGAGCGATTTTGAAAAAATGGTAGGAGTGTTCGAAGGAACGAAGCCAAAGGTAACTCTTAGAGAACTAAATCTGCAAGAAAATGTATTTAGGTAATTTTTGAAAATGGTCGAAAATGGGTCGAAATTTTCGTACAGGAAAATTAATATTTTGAAAAAGTTCCTTAAAAATGCGCAAAAAATGGTATTAGCCAAGATAAGACTGATATTGACAAATGGCACACTCTTGAAGGAAATTAAGGGTGGGTGGGCGGGGCCAGTACTTGCCAATTGCTAAATTTTGCCAAATGGCATACCCTTTATTTTCTTAGAGGGAAGTCATTTGCCAAAATCAGTCTTATCTTAGCAAGTACTATATATACATCTAATTCTCAGTTATATTATAGCATTTTTTGTTCTCTTTTTGATCGCTAAGTATACCACTACCAATAATAGTGCTGGTTCGAAAAATATAGCGAGTTAGAGGTTTCGGGTCACGATTTTCAAAATATTCGGCCTGAAATTCATTTTTTTGAAAATCCTAAAAATTACCATATTTCAATGGGCGATTCTGGAAAAGTGGTAGCAGTTATGGAAGAAACGAGGCCGAAAGTAACTTCTACAGGTTGAAATGTGTTTAGGTAATTTTCGAAAATGATCGAAGGTAGGTCGAAATTTTCATTGGGAGGATGTATAGAAAAACTGAGATTTTGAAAAAGTTGCCTAAAAATTCGCAGAAAATTCTGTGATGTAGATCTGTACGTGCTGGTTTTTTTGACGATGACAATAGGGTATTCTAAAAAAAAAAGGTTTTATGCTGGATTTTAACAAAGAATACTCTGTTTAATTGTATGAACACTTAATTTACTTAAAAATAGTATTATCTTCTATAGAACTTCATGGTTCTAAAATCCAACGAATTTCGAATATCCACCATACGTATGGACCGTTTTTGTTTGTTCAGATTGTGGTTCAAATAATTATATTTGTTGTATTTTAGTTTACAAAGTTGTAACACTTGAAAAATATAGCTTACAAAAAAGCTCAAATTTTCGATGGTACATTTTTACTACTGGTGGAAGCGCTGAACTGAAGCTTTGATTTTTTCAAGTGTTGGACAATTTCAAGCACCACCTGCTGGAACAATTAGTTTTCAGAATAATTAAACGATTCCTTAATTTAACGAAAACCCTCTCTACAGTAGCGTGAAAATAAATGGAACCTATGAATTTTGAGCAGTCTGAAGATAACATTTGACTAAAATATGAAACAATTAGTTGGTGTTTAAGTTGATTTAATACTGGCTCTAATTTTACGCCAACGTATACCACTAATTCAAAGGTTTCACTTTGCTCTAACAAAATTTATTGATACTGTGTTCGTGACTGAAACGCAGTTATGGTCTACAGGCATGCCAAGACGTTGTTAAGAATGGAAAAAACACCGTTCAAGTGTTGGCGCTGTAATAACTTACTTGTTTTCTTTAGTTTTGGGAAAGATTAACCTAGTTAGAAACAGCAGGAATCGTAGTAATGATAGTAGAACGAAACGCAAACATTAATGTGTTAAGTATTATGATAATAAAAATTAATCTGCACAAGCCGAAAAGTGTGACTATTTTGACCCAAATCTTCGGAAAACTAGAACCCCAACCGAAGAATAAGCCAATGATGAAAGAAATTGCAATGCTAAGTTTACGACCTCAGTGTTTCCCCGGTGTCCTTTTCTAAGGATCATTTCAACGTTTAAAATAAAATTTTTAGTTTAAAAGTTAAGTTTATCTTAAAAAAAAAGTAAAATTTGTAGAGTTTTATTAGCTGAAAACATTGCTCAAGCCGCGTTCCAAAATTTCCATAAGTAATTGAGGTATTGATTTTTAAATTGTTTTTAAGAAAACTCCCCTTGTATTATTTAAACAAAGTTTTGGACAGACTATAGCATTTAACATTAATTAGTTATTATTATTATTATTCTACAAATGAATAAAAGTCGGTGCTAACAAGTAGGTAATACCCTATATCTCAGTAAATTATTATAAGCCATTAAAAAAAGTCAGAAACCAACTAAAGTTGTACGAATAATCGTTAAAAACATATACATTATAAATTAAAATAAAACAACATTAAAGGCTAACTTGGTCATAAATGAATTAAAATTTTGGAATGTCAATAGAATAAAGAGTATTTTCCTAAAAATGCATAAGAAAATATCATTGTTACGTTTTTTTTTTTTCTATAAGAAATTCGGTAACAAAACAAATGTCAAAAGTGAATAACAGTCTGCTACTTATTACGCTGTAAGCAGCCTGTGCTTTTAACAAGCAGTCGTGGCCGAGCGGTTAAGGCGTCTGACTAGAAATCAGATTCCCTCTGGGAGCGTAGGTTCGAATCCTACCGACTGCGAGTACACTTTTTTTTTGCAAAATTTGTCAATAATTTCATTTTCCACTTTAAATTTATTTATAAATGACAAACCATTCATTTTTAAAGTCACTCGTTCCGCCAAAATGATCAAACAGATAACGTCAAAGTTAATTTCGGGATGATCAATGAAGATTGATTACATGTAATGAGCTCGTTTATTTTTAGCACAAATTTATAATACGTAAGGGTGCGGCAATAACTACGTAATGGCAGCCTACATCGATAACGAATTACTTATTCAAAATCACGAAAAAACCAGTTCAAGGTGACACTTTCACATTAAAACCCTGTAAGAACCCAATCAAACATTAATACTGAACAGATTTCTATAAGACAAAATAATCTGGTTGCGTGACCGCCCAGGTTAAACGTTTTGTTTTGATTTTGTTGGATTCACCCTTGACTTTGATCAAGTTCAGACAAATAAAGTAAATATTTTATGTGTTGATGGCAGCGTCGACGCTGTTCATTTATATTTTTCTTTTTTTGTGTTTCAGAGATGTGCCTTTGCCCTATGCGAACCTCATGTTCGAAAAGAGAATTTGTAGAGGGACTAACTTCGCGCCCACGCTGTCTGGACACATGGTGAGTTATTTTTGGGTTTATTTTGTCAGTAGGATATTTGCCAAACGTACGCTCACATAAAACTAAAATTGGCCCAGTTTTCTTTTCTAAATTTTGCTTTTTGGGCGCTTTAGACTTTTTGGGTAGTTGAATAGAGTTCTTGTCCTACATGTCTGTAAAACTTGTAAGATAGAGAGTTTCTAAATTGTAATCATTACAACGCAGCCGAAATGGAATCCGAATTTCGCATACGCTAAACTTCTGTCGTCGGATCAGGTACGTATTAAGGCAATATCGTCGTCTGAAATTTATAGAATTCCTTTTCTGTGCTTGAGCTACTTTACTATAAACAGCAGTTTATTTATTTCTTTACGAAACTATCAATTTATATAAAAATATGTCGTGTTTTGTACTTTGTTTTTTGGTTTGGAATCAATTTTTGGTAAAAAAATTGCATCGGCCGGGAATCGAACCCGGGCCGCCCGCGTGGCAGGCGAGCATTCTACCACTGAACCACCGATGCCGATGGTACATTGACCATCACTCATCTTTGCGCAGAGGATTCGCCAAAAATCTAGGTCAGCGCTTGATTAAATGACTCTCTAAAAATGTAAAACAAGACAGTTAATTTTATAACATGAGTAGAGGAGAATTTTTAAAACAATATGTTCTGTAGTTTATTAAGTTTAAAGGATTGTCGGCAGTTCTTCAACTTATACGGAGTGAGTTAATATAGCAGAAGTCCAAAATTACCTCAAGTTTTTTTCTTTAATTAGATGTTAATTTTTAACACAGCTCTAAATCATCAACACTACTGTCATTATCTTCACTATCACTATAATCTGAAACGGACTTAAGACTGATAATGACTTAATTTGTTTCACAATTGTCCAGAATCTTTTCCGTTCGCCATGCCGAATCTGTGATTTTTTCCGTGTGCTTAATATAATTTTCTCAGTGTATGTTGGGAACTTAGTTTAAAAATTTTCCCAAGCTTTCAGTACATCAACAGCAGAAGTATTAGATTTTGCAATACTTGTGTCGTACTTTTGTTTACCGTCTGACCATACAATTTCAATTGCATTAAAATGACAGTGGTATGGCGGAAGTTTTAGGCCACAATATCCATGTTCTTCAGCATACCTAGTGATCTAAATTTTTCGGGTTTTTTTGTTGGAGTATTTTCACCACTGTACAACTTAGTTTTTGAAATTTTAATGCGGCGTTTCCTGATTATTCCAAAAAAAAAAAAAATAAAATTTAACATTTTCTTACGCAATATTCTTATTATGTAGAGCTTTTATAAAGACATTCCAAAATATTATAAGTTAGAAATTATTAGCGGATCTCAGATTTTTCACACCGTACACCGTTTATTTTATTATTGCATCTTACTCTGTTTTTATCCTCCCTCTTTTTGCTTTTATACCTAAAATTGATATCTTCTGTAAATTTTCATTATTTTGGTCGATCCGTCTGAAATTTCTCCATCAAAGATTTAGAAACATTTATGGAAGTGACGAAACTTTCATTTTGTAGCACATTCTCTAATGATTATTCAACTGGCTGAGCAATAGTCTGCTATAGTCGGGGAAATTTAAAGTGGCAGATCTAACATTTAAAGCTTCATATGATTACCATAAAAGTGTTAATTTCCTTCAAATAAGATTTGTTTACGAATAAACATCTACTGAGTAGCGAGGTGAAAATAGTCAAGAGAAACAGCACTGACAAACATTTGTTAATATTTATTATGTATTAAAATTATGTATTTATACAACAAGTGATATTTTGGTTATTTTTCAAAATACTGGAAATATAAAAAGAAGTAAAATAACTGGACAAAATGTATTTATTAAACATCAATATCACACACTGTCCTCACCATTTACATGACATTCAGTATGTTATTTGTACATAGATAAGAAATTTTCTGTCTGACCCTTTTCTCCCTTGACTCTAGAAATAGGCGGGTAATAAACATTATTTTCCAAAAGTTAATATTTTTATGGTAATACTATGGATGCTTTAAAATTTAGATGCTCCACTTTAAATTTCCGCGACTATACCTATGTTCCACTATAACAGATATTAAATTTAATCGCGCAACAAATATTAATGATTCAGACAACTTTTTTTGTTTTTAAATTCCCTCATCAACTAATTTGTAGCCAAACTGTCTAATAATTAAGTTTTTATACAAAAAATATATATATTTGTGATAAATAATGTGGCAAAAATTGCATCGGCCGGGAATCGAACCCGGGCCGCCCGCGTGGCAGGCGAGCATTCTACCACTGAACCACCGATGCTGATGGTACATTGACCATTGCTCATCTTCGCCCAGAGGATTTACCAGAAATCGAGGTTAACGTTTGTGATCAATGATTATCGACTTTCACTCGATGTTAAGATTTACTAAAACTTTAGGAGAAGACCTCTTTTTTATTTTTTAATAATACAGATTTCTGAGTTATCAAATTCAGTATGTGACGTTGATTTGTTATAAAAATTTAATTTAATTAACAAAGATCGTGTTGTAAATTTGAATTCATTTTATTCGTAATTAAATTTATTAGACAACCTACAATACACTGCTGTGTATATTTGGTGACCATTTTTAAATTTAATTAAACGTAACGTGCTTTAAGTAGGTGTCCCGGTTAAATTGTCGCGGCCTTACATCTTGAGAACGAATGTAGGGATTTTGAAATTCTATAAATGCAATTGTTTTTAACTGTTTCCGTGTGTTATTGTTTGCGATTTAAAAAAATAAATTTAGCAACCACCCCCTTCTGATGTGTGCATGTTACGTTACTGACTGACAGTCCGTTGTCAGATTCTGATGATTCATAATGTTGAACTTAAAATAAATAAGTCATCTCTAACAACCTTTGTCCTTCAACACTTGTCAATAGCAATATGACGCTCAAGTGTTTATTTATGTTTATACATCGAAAGAATGACACGTAGAAATTAGTTTGATTTTAATGACAATTGTCTTCTCAGTATTAAAAATTATTAATTAAACAACAATCGAACAAAATGTTCTGAATATTATAATTCTTATGTTATCATTATTATACACAGACATGCGACATTTTCGAGAAAATGGGGTGAATCGTTCTTAATTTGACCAATAAACAATTTGTGATGAAGTCATCAACATGGATAATTCTAGCCACAGCGCTATACCAATTCAAGAAAAAAAAAAACGAAAAGCGCCAAGATCGGCGTCGAACCCACGACGGAGTATCGCCGGTAAATTTTAGCGAAAAAACTGAAAGCGGATTCGTATACTACAGCTATAGGAGTATATTTTGTATAACATTCAACTCATTTTAAAATACCATTCATTGAAATGACGTCATCAAGTTGTTGGTGGGAATGATTAGCCAAATTTTGGTTAACATTTAACCTACTACATATTTTTAATACACATACAAAATTTGACAACAATTTCTCCAGCAGTTTTGGAGATTACGTGTCTAATAAAAATGCATACAGACAGACAGACAGACAGACGGAAACGGTAGACTATTTTTTTCGTACCGTAGGGGTCATGAAACGTCGCGAAAATGTAAAAGTGGCCATTCGTCCGATAGACTCGACTACAATATTTCCTTCGCTTATGCTCGGGAAGTAAAAATGGACGTTTGCGTTGTAAACCGTCATATTTCCAGTGTACTAAATTAAGCTTAAAATATTGTTTTGTTTTTCTGTACGAATCGTTTACCTGACGTGGGATTATTATACCTGGTTCGTCTCTAAAAAGAGAAGATTAACCCAAAGTCAAAATCTATAACCAGTTTAGCACAAAATTTATTAAGACATCAGGTAACCGTAATATACATAAGCTCTTCATCATTTTAAGGGTGAGCTAAAGCATTTTCCAACATAGAGAAAAAGGACAATTTTTGCATAGGTAACATATTATACACCCCAGAGACGACTTCGTCCAATTTAATTTTGTCACACTTTCCCAATATTAATAGCATGTCTGTTTTTTCAGAATTCGAAAACGTTTAAAGCAAACGAAAATTGTAAATATTTGGCTGTTAGAAATAATTTGTCATAATTCTGGTTCTGATTACTTAAAACTTGCTTTGGTTCATCATTATTTGAAAATAAAAATTAATCAAAGCTGTTTGTGCAACGTAAAATGGGTTGCCTATGCAGAAATATTCAGGCGTGAACAGATAAAATGAACACCCTGTATACTACTTTTACTGAACATCCATGTTTTATCCAGAAAAAAGGGTTTGTGTCATTTTGTTTTTTTTTGTGGTGCTGATATTCACCCAAAAATTCTGCTCTTCTTAGCTTAATGGATGGTCTCTCCATTAGAAACAATCGATTATTATTTTTATAAAACCCACTTTTCTAATCCATGTGTTTAGTCTCCTGAGTCAAACTTTAAAGTCCGGCGAGGAATGCAGTTTTTTTGTTTCATAGCTACCTATCCTTTAATACTTTTTGGAATTATTTGCATACTAATTTTTCGTTTTTTGTCTAACCAGACGTATTTCGGAAATGAAATTTTCCATACAATATTTATTTGTCATGTTTAATCAAGTGATGCAAGACTTAATTAATTCAAAATTAAATTAAGGCATGGAAAATTTACTTTCTCAAGATAATGATTATTCTCACCAGTTCATATTAATCCTCACCTATCAAAATAGCAACATTTCAAATTTCATAACAATCGGTTCAAAAATATCTGAGTTATTGCGCCCGAAAGTGTTACGTGGGGCACCCGGTATAAAGATTTTCAGAAATTTTTGTCTAACATTTCGGCCGCCAGTTCTGTTTTTCGTTTTTTCTTAAATTGCACAACATCATGGTTTCTTTTTCAATAATCCAACACATTTAATATAACTTGTTCTGTTTGATCACTAAATCGTTTCATTATTAAATAGAGTAGTAAAACGTTAAATAATTCTGATGACAAATTTCAAAATTTGACAAAAAATTTCTACGACATACGTACTCAGAATATGGTATTTTTTTTTGTCTCACACAAAGTGCATATGACATAAAAAGAAAATGTTTTACCTGGGGTATTTCCATGACTATACAATCCTAACACAATATTCTTATTATACAGAACTTTTATAAAGGTATTCTAAAATGTTATAAGTTATAAAATATCATATCTAGATTTTTCACACAGAACACTGTTTATTTTATTATTGCACCTTACTGTTTTTATTCTCCCTCTTTTTTGTGTTGATACCTAAAATTGATATCTTGTGTAAATTTTCATTATTTTG